GGTGTCCCGCTTTACCAATGTTAAAATCTGGTCACCTTACTAGAGACAAGCCTGGGTCCCAGCTTGCAGGCGGGATTCCCACACATTGATGGGCAACTCCCAGCAAGCAGCCCTGGGAGCGGAGCTGCTCTGTTTTTGGAAGGGGGTTGCATGTGAGGCGCTCCTGGCTTCCAGTGCGACCCGCAGCTCTGGTGATGGAAACCACATGTGCACAGCCCTCTCTGGCTGTCTCCCAGGCTACCTGCCCTTTGCAAATCGACGTGCTTTTCACCACGCGCACATCAAAAGGGTAGGGCAGAGGTCACACAGAGTGATGTGAATCCCCCCGGTGACGGGGGAAGACGTGTGCCAAGACTCTGGGCTGAATCACATTCCCGCTCCCTTCCAGTCAGCCTCAGATCTGGCCGGCAGCAGGAGTCCCACCCCTAGCCCTTCTCCAGGCCTCAGTTCCCAGGCAAAGGCAGAAACTGTGAGCCTGGGCCCCTGAGTGTGCGGTGTCAGACTACCCTCCTGGAGCTGACCTGCTAGTGTGGGGAGACAGAAAATAAGTACATGAAGCGTGTACAGTGGGTTTCACACATGCCGGGAGACAAATGAGGCAGAGAAGGGGGCGAGGGCGCTGATGTAGGACCAGGAGGTTCAAGAGTCTATCTGCTCAGGAAAAGTCTCACTGGGGAAAGAAGCCAAGACCTGCGGTTCAAGGAGCCACAAGGCCGGTGGTGTGAGCAGAGGGAGGGAGGAGAGGAGGTGGAGAGGTCAAGGGGAGTGCATCAAAGGCGACCTGGAGGCCAGGTGAGACCTTTGGGATTTACTCTGATGCGATGGAACTCCCTTGGGTGTGGGCGGCTGAGCTTAGAAGCTCTATAGAACCACAGACCTTTGTGGACACTTGTATGTCACACATTATACTCGGCATTGTGGATACCCAAATGAAAATGACACAGTTCTTGCCATGAGGATTCCCCAGTCTAATAATCGAGGCAAAACAGAGAGCCATTCTGTGCCAGGCCGTGATATGTACCCAGGGCAGGGACTGGAAGCCGTCTGCCCCAAGGGCAGGCAGTCGGGGACTGTCTGATGAGGACGTAGAGGCAATCATAAAAGCAACCGCAAGTGGGTTTGCTCTTTATGTCACCACGCTCCAGTCATTCTAAACAATTATTCCCATGTCTCAGCTCCCAGCTGTACACCACTGACTCAAGGCACTATCATTAAGGACGCTCAAGCGAGGGACAATTAAATAAGTCACCTAGGGGAACAGAGGTCAGGAAAGGCTCGAGAGAGATTGGGTGTTACGCAGAATTCACTAGGCAGACAATTCAGGAAAGGGTCTGGGAAGCCAGGGACAGGAAGGGAAAGGCACAGAGACACACAAGAATAGGGCCCATGTGAGGGCCTGCTCAAATAGTCCAGGACGCCCAGAGCATGCAGCATGTGCTCCCGGCGTGATAAGAGAGAAGATCGTGTGGGTGGGCCCAGTCTTCTTCTGGGAGGACTCATACATCACACTAAGAAAGGTGAACACGATCTAGGGTCAGTGGGAGACCCTCCACAAAACGGGTAGGGCCGGAGAGAGACCCAATCTGGGATGTTCACTTTCGTGATGGAGCCGAGACCAGCTAGTCCAGTGTCAAAACGGAGAATGGAAGACCGGTACGGAGACCCTTGGCACAGTGTTCTAGGGGGCAGGGAACCTGGGCAAGGAGGAGCAGTAGGAATGAGAAGGTGTACTGCTATACAGGTTGTGCACTATACCACTGAGGGGTCCCAGTCACATAAATTGGCTTCTGTCCCACCCGGGCTAGAGGTCTCCATGCAGCCCTGCCTTCTAGCACCCTTGGGGGTAAGCCATGCACAGCTGGGCTCAGAGTGCTGTGACCTGATTCTCAAGATTTTCACTCTACCACTGCCTCTCCTTGGCCAACCCAAGCACGTGGCCTCAGACACTCTTGCCCCAACCTGTTACAAAGAACCCTCTTGTGAACCATAGCAGGATTCACACTGGGAACCGTGTAGCTTTAATTCCTGTTCTTCTGAAGCTTGGAGACTGCAACAAAGCACTTGGGCACACCAGCCAACATAAAACAGATGTACCTTGACTTTTATGTACAAAGATAAGAAGTATCAGATGAACAGTCTCTTTCCCTCAGCACAAGCTCCTTCTTTGTGTGCGATGGCTGTTTGAACAATTAGGGCAGTGATGGTCTTATCAGATAACACTTTGAAACCTTCCTGACGCATGCTGCCGAACCACGTGCTACAACTTGTTGGTCTTTCTAGTAAGACTGCCATTTGAAGGGATGGGCAAAGAGTTCGACAAGGTTTTCTCCTTAAACACCCAGATGGCAGAACAAAGCAAAGTTGCTTAATACAAAGGTTTGGTCTTGAGTTTTGGTTTTTTATTTGTTTACCTTCTTAGCATTTGGGAAGAGCACAGGGATGAATCTGAAATTCATGCTTCCTTGTTTTATGAACTCAATCTGCATCTGGAACCAAACAGATAATGGGGAATTAATTTTATAAATGAGGACAAAGAGTTAATGGTAGCCATCGTTTTGCAAAATCTGCTGCAAAAGTGACAAACCCCCAAGATGTCACGTTGAGGACGACAATGTGCCTGACCCAAGTCGTAGCACTTTCAGTGACCTCATATGCATGCAAAAGCCGGACGATGGCTAAGGAAGACCAGAAAGAAGAGGTGCCGTTGACCCCTGGTGCTGGTGAAGAATGCCGACTATGCCACGGACTGCCAAAAGGACAAACAAATCTCTAGGGAGTACAGCTAGAATGTCCTTTAGAAGTGAGGATGGCATGACTTTGTCTCATGTACTTTGGACATGCTGTCAGGAGAGACCAGTCCCTAGAGAAGCAGAGGGTCTGCAAAAAAGAGGAAGGCCCCGATGAGATGGAGTGACAGCGTGGCTCCAGCAGCGGACGCCCACATAATCACCCTGAGGAGGAGAGCCCAAGGCAGAGCCTTGCTTTGTTTGGTTGTCCACAGGGCTGCCTGAGTCAGAACCTCTTCGACAGATAGCGTCCAACCACAACGACATATCCACACACACACATTATCAGTATGCTGATTTCTTTATTTGAGTAGCCAACACTGTCATTTCAAGTCCTCCACATTGCACCTCTGTGTCATTCACACACTCATGAACTCAAGGCCTATCAAAAGTCACCCTCTGCGGGAGACTTTGGGTTTTGAGATCTGGGCTCTGTCCTCGTGAGCAAAGTCTGCTCACATGGGCTCATGAGAACCAGAACAATTCTGTGTTTTCGTGATTTCAAATCAGCACCTTGAAACTGGCCAGAGTGAGAGCATACTGTGGAAACTGGGCATTGCTCTGAATGAGGACTTGTGTTATTGTTGACAGGAACATCCGTGATACCATCCCTATCCTCACAAAGCCAACCGTCAGTCTAGTGAGCAGGCGGAAAGGTAAATTACCAACCCCAGTGGGATGTGAACAGTGTGAATGGAATGCTGTGGCAGCCCAGGTGTCCAGTCTTCACTGGGGGTGCGAAGCAGAGTCACAAGGATGGGTCACATGGGTACTGGAAGAGAAGGATTTGGTCAGGCAAAACAGGCGTGGGTGAGGGAGAGGACATTGTCAGCAGAGGAAACCACATGAATAAATGTCTGCAGAGGCGAACCTCCGAAGCATAGTTGGTGATCAGCTAGCTAGTCAGCGCCGTGGCTAGAGCCTAGGATGGGGCATGGGAGAGAGAGGAGACGAGACTGAAAGGGCAGTTAAGGAAAGCTGTCTGCTAGACTTCAGATTCCCCACACCAGTTCCAATTTTCTCTGATCCTATGATGGCCCAGGGAGATTTAACAGGCAAGAACCCTATCAGACCAGAATAGTCCGTACAAGGAGCGTTAGAATCTTCCAAATCCTGTGAGCAGCACAAAGCTCTCAGTCTTCCTGGTGACAAGGAGATGAGGAATTATGCGTTCCCGACGATTTCATGGTGTGATTGATTTTTGTAACTGAGAACTCTTCATCGTGCATGGGCATAGACACAGAACAAAGGAGAAAGTAGCAGTGGTGATGACTGGCTATTGAAATCACCATAGAAACCCCTCATAGATAAACACTCACATACACTTGAGCGTGCGCAGGCGCACATACAAACAGACATAGTGATTCACACACACAACCACACACACCTACCTTCTACCGGGTGTTTTCTCAGCATTTAAACATCACACCAAAAGCACATTTTACACATGACCCAGTACTGCACAACTAACAGGACCAGCCACACCAGCACAGAATAAACAGGAAGCCATAGAATTAGTCATTCAAAAGTGAAGAACAGTATCTAGTTTCTGACTTTGGAGATACTGTTCACTGTAAAATGCAGTGTGGTCAATAGGTCGCTCGATCTGCTGAGGGGCCACCCAGCCACCATGCGTTTTTCTTCCCCGGCTCTCATACTTCAGACGTTGCCTGTCTGAAGATGCTTGCTCTGTGGTGAACTCAGGAGTCCTCCTCATCTGCCCTGTTGTGGCCACGTTGTAACTGTCTTAAGGGCTTCTGTTGCTTGGGGTTCAGGGATATGTGAGAAGTCAGCTAAGTGGGAAGGAAGGTGCCTCAACCCCAAGTTTAAGGTCCCAAGACATTGTTGCTCTAAAAATCTAAGCTGGAGATAAAGCGCTTCATGGTTGAGCACAGTCAGCCAATCTCTGATGTGCTTGCTGCTTGTTACTGCCTGGCTCTGCCACCCTCCAGGAGAGCCAGTCACATTTCCTCAGGAGCTGGCTCAGACCTGGAGCCCTTGCTACCATCCACAGTCAGTTCCTAGGATTGACAGGCTCCTAGAGATGCAGGCAGGACACTGGACGCTCTGGGGCGTACAGTCATGCATCAGGCAGCCAAGGGATGGCAGCACCCAGAGGCAGCCTTGTACTTTCAGGGAAGTGTATGTTCTGAGTGTTGCCAATTTGGGCCAAGCCTGGAATATGAGGGAGACGAACCAAATTCTCCTGACTCCTTGCCTTCCATGTTGACCTCACCCCCTTGCCTCTGCTTTGACTTTGGCTTGGTTTTCTGAGCTCAAACAGTGCAAGAGGTGACAGCGACCCTAGAGGCCCACATGGGGAAGACCCACCCACTTACCAACCTTTTCCCTACACTAGATACACATGGCAGAGCTGGCTGCCTGTCCTGCAGTTGACCTGGACTGTCTCTTGCTTTGAGCGGATGACTTAGGTCACTGAGACAGCTTCTCCTTTCTACCCCCTCTCCCCACCTCAGTCAGTGAGTCCTTATGTCCATCCTGGGTGCCTCCCCAACCCTTGTGATGTGGTGGCACTGCAAGGGAGCTTACAAGTTCCAGTGCAGTGGTTTTCAAGCCTTTATGAATCTCAAAATCCTTGGCAAACAAACAAGGCTGAGAAACAAAAACCAGCACTTGTGGTAGGGGTAGGAGGGCCACAACCAAGCTCACTCAGGCCCATATGAAGACTCCCATTAGGGCAGTGGTTCTCCACCTTCCTCATGCCTTGACCCTTTCATACAGTTCCTCATGTTGTGGTGATCCCCCCCCCCAACAACCATATTGTCGTTGCTACTTCATAACGGTAATTTTGCTACTGTTATGAATTGGGCGACCCCTGTGAAAGGGTCGTTTGAGCCCCAAAGGGGTCACGACCCACAGGTTGAGAACCATTGCATTAGCGAGTCACAGAGCCGTTTCAGAGCCACAAGTCTTATCTTGAATCCTAGTCTAGCTGGAACTGTCTCCACAGCCTCACTCTGGTTACGGAGAGGAGGAAGATGGGGATGGCATCAAGCAACCAGTACCAAAAGTGGGGGACATTTCCCGTCAGAATGTTCTAGTAAGATGCGGAGTAAATCTAAATTCCTACAATTTTTCTCCCTATTGGTTTCAGTTCATCTAAGCCCCCTACTTCAGGTGTGACGGTAGAATGTTCTATCATGCGCTAATGACAACTCCTTCCCGATTGGGCATCCGAATGCGCCAGACACTTTACAGACATATCTCATGTCTTCTCCACAGCACTGCTCTCTAAATACTTGTGACCCGTTTTACTAATAGAGATACCGAGGCACCAAAGTTGTAAGCAACTGGCCCATGGTCACTGCTATGGATTGAATTGTGCCCCCCCCCCCCAAATATGCAGTGTAAATCCTAACTTCTGCCCCTGTGGTCATAGTCCCCTTTGGAAATGGGTTGTCTTTGTGACATCAATGAGGCAGGATGAGTGTAGTGATCTCGAGCCCATCTCTTCTGAGACTGCAAAGAGATTAAACTAAAGCTAGCATGGAGAAAGAGGGGACTGGAGATGCTAAGTACATTAAAACTGTCCAGGAACGGATGCTCAGAAGAGAAGAGGACCTTCCTCCAGAGCCTGCAGAGAAAGAAAGCCTTCCCCTATCTCCTGGCTGCTAAATTCAGACATCTCGTCTCTCAGCCATATGAAGGCTTGTGAGGACCGGGCAGCCTTTCATGCTGTTGTGCGTAGAGTGGCTATGAGTTGGAACCAGCATCTTAAACAACAGCCTCCGGAATAGGAGAGAGACTGACTACACTCGGAGAAAATCGATCTCTGTTCATTAAAGCCACCAACTAGTTATAGGTCGTTTATGGGAACACTAGATAACCATCAGTTACGTAACCTGCTCATAAGAAGACTGAAGTTGAACAGCATGGATCCTTGTCCCTCTGTCCCTCTGTCCCTCTGCCTCTCTGAAAAGGCAGGGGAGGGCATATGAAGCAGATACAAGAGCCTCCCACCAGTCCCCAGCCCTGCCCCAGGCCCCTCCTAGGATTTCACATGCACTGTCAACTCCCAAACCAGCAGAGTACCACCTTCCAGAATCTTGGAGCTTAGAGACCAAGGCTTAAAGTCTCCTTGTGACTGACAGGAACACTGTGTCCCAGAGCTATGGTGATTAGCCTGAAAACCCTAAGGTAGCTAGAGGCAGGACTATAGCCCCTTGCCCTGACGGAGCCCTGGGGCCTTCACACAGCCTCCAGCACCCTGAGGAAGGCCCTTCCCTGGGGAAGGAGCCCACGCAGTTCCGAGGGGGCCCAGGTGTGGGATGCCCTGCGCACTCACCATTCGATGGATGTACTTAGTGTGTAAGCCATGTTCATTGTCATCCAGCTGCGACTCCGCGCCCTCCACATCCTGTTTGTATTTGGGGCTGATTGCTATGATTATCATCACTGTCTTCTGTTAATGAGAGGCAGAAAGGCATGTTTACGCAAGTGTAAAGTGGGCTCCATTTGGCGAAGGCGGGCTGGACCCTGGCCAGCAGGGCTGCAAGCATTCTCTGGCATGCCCAGGACGGAGCGCCAGATTCATGCTCATGCAAAGCGAACCGCACTGACCCTCAACTCCAGCAAAGGCTCCCCTCCCCTTTGCCGGGTCACCTCTTTTCCGGCCGTCCCCAGCCGCTGCCCCCACCAAACCCACGGAACAGATGGTTCAGGGAGGACCTCTCCTAAACAGCCACGCGGTTGCCCACCACTTCCCGCAGCCGTCACCAATAAACATGTCATGACAGCCCGGGTCACTCAACGAGTCGGCACCCGCGGCGAGCAGCCCCAGAGTGGGTGTCTGTCACCGCAGCCCGCCCCCTGCTCCTGGGGTGCTCACGTTAGCACCCGCAGCGGGACGGAACCTGCCACGCCAAGCAACATCGGGCTGCAGACAAAAGGAGAGGCGACCAGAACCCCCGCCCTGGTGACTCCGGCCCCTCCAAAAGCTGCAGCCGATGAGGACATGCTGGCAGCAATCAATTTCTCTCTTGTTAGAGCTCAAAGTGTCCCAGTGGCCAGTATAGATCCTGTCATTGGAAAACAAATCACGGGGCTTCGAGTGAGCCCCTCAGGGGGCTGTGCTGCATACTCCTCCCCCAACGCTCGGAGCGGCCGCCCAGGAAACTGAATTCTGACGTTCTGCCCCGCAGCCCACCTTCATGTCCTCTTTTCCTATTCTGGTCAAAACAACAACAACAACACAAGGTTTGCTCTGATTGTTATCAACCACCTGTGTCTGGTGGGACTGTTATTTCCGGCTGTGCAGTGCAGGTCTCGGAGGGCGACCCCACCCCCACCCCTGCTTCCTGCCATTCCAAGATTTCGCAGAACTTCCAACAAGGGAGTCTGTGGGAACTTGCTCTGCTTAGGACTTGGGTGGGATGCCAGGGCTTCTTTAATAAATGAACCTCACAAGCTCATGACTGTTCTCACAAGAAGGCAATCTCAGAATCTGGGAACATACTTACATCCCTAAGGTAGTGCTCCATCCATTTAATGATATCAATGCCCCGGATTCTGTCCTCGAATATATCAATCTAGAAGAGAAAGATGTGAGGGGTCATGAAAAGCTGTCTCTAGATTCCGAGCAAGAGAAAACATAAGATGAATAAACATTCACAATCTAAAAATCTGTGTTGTAAACACTAACCTCCCTGGAGTCTGTGGTTATACTCCTGTGTGGAAATGGGTTGCCTTTGTTATGCTAATGAGGCAGGCTAGGTGTAGGGTTGGAGTCAACCCTTTTGGAGATATAAGAGATTAAACAAGGAAACGGAGGAGAGGGGAGATAGATGCCAAGACATGGATGCCTGGATCTGCAAGGAACCAGGAAGCAGCTTTCTCCAGAGCCAACTGAGAGAAAGCCTTCTAGTGCCAGCACTCTGAATTTAGTCTTTTAGCCCCTGAGACCAGTGGTTCTCAACCTTCCTAATGCTGTGACCCTTTCATACAGTTCCTCATGTTGTGCTGACCCTCCAACCATAAACTTATTTTCGTTGCTATTTCATAACTGTAATTTTGCTACTGTTATGAATTGGGTGACCCCTGTGAAAGGGTTGTTCAACCCCCAAAGGGGTAGCCACCCACAGGTTGAGAACCACTGCCTTAAACTGTGAGAAAATAGCTTTCTGTTTGTTAAAGTCATACCCTTGTGGTATTTCTGTCATAACACTATTAGATAACGGAGGCCCAATTTGGTACCATGAATGGGGTGCTGCTCTGGTAGATACCTCGCGATTTTGGAAGTGGGTAATGGGTAGAGGCTGAGGGAATTTTAAGGTGCCTAGTATGAAAAGCCTAGATTGCTTTGCAGAGACTGTAGACAGAATTGAAGACGCCAAGGCCACTCTGGTGAGGGCTTGGGAGGAAGCGAGGAGAGCTCTCGAGAAGCCTCTTTCATCTTAGGAAGTACATATGGCACAAACACCAGAGTGTTGCTAGAGATGTGGACATAAAATATGCTTTGGTGAAGCCTTGAAAGGAAACGCTGAACATGTTATTGAACAATAGAGGAAGGGTGATGCTGTTTTGTGCAGTGGCAAGGAATTTGTCTTAATTATCCTCAAATGTTTAGTGGAAGGTGGAACTTGCGATGAACTTGGATATTTGGCTGAGGAGACTTCTAAGCAAGATCTTAAAGGGGCTGTGGGGTTACTCTTTGGTGCTTATAGTGAAACATAAGAGGAAAGGGGTGGATTTAAAAGTGGACTGTGCAAAATGAAACCAGAACTAAGGACATGTGTTCTTATGTTCAACAAGGATCTGACGACGTAATTTTTGGCTAAAGACATGAAGCCTGTGATTGATGGATCTAACCAACTACCACAGCAGAAGATCCATCATCTTGGACTGAAGGGGGCAGAGAAAGGGCGAAAGGAAAGAATGCTGCCTGCCTGCTGGAGGCAGCAAACAGGCCCAAGGAGGCACATCTGTTGTCTACCTTGTGCCTGTTCCATCGTTGTTCCAGGTTCCAAATTCCACAGGTTCACAGATGCAGGGGAATTTGGCCTCAGGATGGAATACAGCTAACATTTTATTCATATTGATTCGGTGATTCAGAAGTAATATGGCACTTGGACTTGATGTAAGACTTTCTGGGGTGACGTGATGGAGTGAATTTGTTTGCACATGGCAAGGCTATGAACTTGGGTTGAGTGGCAAAAGGTGGCGTGCTATGAATTCAATTATGTCCCTCCAAAATATGCATTGTAAATCCTAATCTCCATATCTGTTGTTATAATCCCTTTTAGAAATGGGCTGTCTTTGTTATGTTGATAAGACAGGACTGGTGGAGGGTATGTCTCTCTCAAGATATAAGAGAAATTAAATTAAAACAAGCAAGAGAATCTGAGAGGGGGAAGACAAGTGCAACCCACAAAGAGATCTCCAGGGAAAGCGACCAGGACCTTCCTCGGGACCCAAGAACAGGAGGAAGGCCTCTCTCTCCTCGACCTGGTGGTGCTCTGATTTGGACATGTAACTCCCTACACTGTGAGAAAATAAACTTGTTTATTCAACATCATCAACCTGTGGTATTTCTGTTACAGCAGCACAAGGTAACAAATCCTGCTACCATCAGATGGATTCCAAGTCATAGCGACTCCATATTGGGTTTTAGGCTTTTTAAATCTTTACAGGAGCAGACAGCTCCTGTGGATCGGCTGGGGGATTTGAACTGCTGACCTTGCAGTGAGCAGTCTAATGTTTACCCAACAGCACCGACAGTACTAGTACCTTTTTTTTTTTTTTGCAGTGGGAAGCACATAGGTCTCAAAAACAAAATTCAATTTTCATAGAATGTTGCCCATTTCAACATGAGTAGGCATTGAAGTATTTAGTGTCTATTATTAGACTATAGTGATACATATCAACATGTGTGCATAGCTAGACAAAGAGTAATTTTTTAAAAATCTGAATGATTCAGTGGAACATCAAGTTGACTCTAAGCTAGCAGAAAATCTATATATTCCATATAGATTTATTTATGTGTTTGGAAAGGCAACACCATTCTGGAACAATTTAATGGGTGTGTATTTTGTTGAGATGTGGTGCTTTATTTGCACTGGGTCATGATCATATCAGGTCCAGTTTCAATCTATACATTTCAAAAGGATTGTATAAAACCTGGAGCAAATCAGTTACCTCGATGGGGGAAAAGTTTATGACGAAAGTAAAAAAAGTAGAATACTTGGCACTTGAAAAAAGTGATATTTAACATCAATCTTTGAGAATATGGAGGGAAACTAGGAGGGGAGAGAAATCAGCTGTTTTCTGTTTTATAGAAGACTGAGTAAGAAACCCTTTGTGGGCTCAGGCTTGTAACGGTCAGAGGTGTGTGTGTGTGTGTAAGCACTTTTCGTTGTTAGAAGGATCTTACACTGGAATGGGAGGCTACGGGAGGGAGTAGGTTGACTCTCTGTCCTTGAATTGCAGTAATTTGATTTGGCCACATTGCTCTCAGATGAATTATATGAAATGTTCTGCTCCTGTTTAGGAAATGATAAGTGCAAGTCTCAGCCATTCAGCAAGCTTCTGTGTCCTCTGTGCTCCAGCCTTCCCTCTATTCTCCCCACATACCCTCCTACCCCGCCCCTGTGAGACTTCCATAGCCCTTGGCCAAACAGGGAATCATGCTCACACCCGGCTCCAGTCCCCTTTCTCTCCCCATTGGATGACTTCCTTCACTTCACCTCACTAACTCTACCCCTTTGGGACACCTAGTAGTACTGGAGACTGAATATATTATCATCACATTCTTTCTACTGATCTATGTACTCCATTTCTCTTGTTAGAAGAAAAAGCACGTCTCCTTTAGGTCTGTCTTGTCTCCTCGACCTAATTTTGAGCTTCACATGGAAAAATATCCTCTCTGTGTCCTCTGAGCTATCAAATACAGAAGGCACAACATGAGTTCAAAATGTGTTTCTTAACTGATAGAACATCAAAAATGGAATGGTCTTCCTTTGGGTGTAGAGGACTCCTGGTTTGGCCAATGATGCCATGAAATAATCTTGAGAAAGATTTGCAGCTCTTTATGACTACATGTGGCTACTAACCCGGCTTTCTAAGGTGCTTGTAAGGAATAAAACGTGTTAACATTGAGAAGGCACATCGAGTCTATTAACCAAGGACAGCGGTTTTACGGTTGAAATGGGAACCAATAACATTCATGATTCATATTTCCATGATGAAGAAGAAGAAGATGATGATGATGATGGGATTCAATTATATTTTTCTTTAAGTCATTTCTGATATGACATGGGAAGAAATGAAGAGACATGAATGCCAGTCATGAAGTAAATACTCCATAAATGGTCAGTCCCTGAAAGATCCTGCACCCCTGGGTTGGAGAGCCCGCCCCTGTAGCACAGTGGTGCGAGTAGCACTGACGCCTAACAGCACTTTAAACCCAGCGGGTGGCTCTGTGGGAGAAAGCCCTGGCCATCTGCTTCCACGAAGATTACAGCCACAAAAACCCGGGGGGCGTCCGACGCTGTCCTGTGGGAATGAGCCTGACAGTGCCCAACAGCAGCTGTGAGTGAGAGCCCACTGTACGTGATCGATCACCTTCCATGTGCTCCTCAGCTCTCTCCCAAAGCCAGAGCCCCGTCAGCCTCGCTTGTCCACACAACGCACCTCTTGGATTCCTGGTACCTCTCCTCCCTCCTCTCATACCTGGGGGTGGTAACGACTGCCTACTTTAACTTGTCCCAGGATATTGCACCCTTCCCAACAGATTCCCTAAAATCTTCCCACAGCTTGGCAAATGGCCCCTCTCTTTTTTTTTTTCTTTTTCTTTAACATTTTATTAGGGGCCCATACAACTGTTATCCCAATCCATACACACATCAATTGTGTAAAGCGCATTTGTACATC